CCACACACACACACACACACACACACACACACACATGCAGGTGGGCGTGTGTGTGCATGCATGCAGACACCACACACACACACACACACACACACACACACAGAAAAGCCCACCAAGACTCTCCTCAGGAGACAACAGCATCAAGGCAAAATAAAGGCTCTCTTGATTTGTTTTTATCTCTTGCTGTTAAAGAATTTGTAATACATTCAGCCAGGAAGACTGACTGGCTTGAACAGGCCAATGCACCTGTCAATTTAGTGGCATCATTTGAGCTCAATCAGTGTGGCGCTGGAGGAGTCCCCTAAATGTTTAATTTCTTCCAGCCCCATAAGCGCAGTGATAGGTCTTATCAGGATTGTATTGACTGCGCAAAATGAGGCCTGGCGTGGAGCAGTTTTCTTGACAGGAGCGACGTTAAAAGCACACACCAGGAACCCGCTTAACAGGTTTCTAATAATATCATCTTCTCTTGGCATCCCATTTTCATTCCTGACCACTGCAGTCCTTTGGCGTGCACGTGGGTGATTCATCCTGCCCTGAGAGGCAGTGTTTTCAAGCTGAGGGCTGATAAGGCTGCAGGCAGAACAAAGGTAAGACTTCCTCCCCTTGATGGTCAGCTCAAAGAAAGGCCTTTCTTCATAATGCTACATTGCATGTGTGGTTTTTGTTACGGGCATGGGAACTCGGGATTGCAGCAAAATTCAGGTTGATAAGACATCATATGGCATGGTGCCCAGACAATATGGCATTCTTCCCTCAAACATTCTTCTAGGACATACACAAAATGATTAAAGTGTAGATAGACCTGAATTTTGTTCTGAACGTAAGAAACATGACAAATAACTTATCCACTCATGACCCAAGTCCCATTCACAGTACATACAAGTGTCAAGAAAGAACAGAATCCCGAGTTATCCTCTGACCTCCACACACACGCCTGAGGCTTGTCCCTACCTGCATGTTCACACACACGTAAGTAAATAAATAAATTATTATAAGATGTTCCACACAACGTGAAGGATGCTGGTGATTACAATGCACACGGGTACAACAGCAGTAGGTGAAGAAATGGCCTTTTTCTTGCCTTAGCAAGTGACCTAGAAACTTCTCCAGATTGGGGAACTCAGTCTAAACCAGGAATCAAGGTTGGATTTTTCCAGACAGAGCCTAGAGTAATGCCATTCCGGAAAGAGTAGCAGGGACATCAAAAGGCACTAAGTACGGGGAAATAAAATGTTCAGTAAATTGTGTCACTGTGACCGGAGATAGAGGAGGAGTTAGCTTGGGCTTTGGAGAGTACACAGCCTGCACAACCATCATGCATGACTTGGTATCTACTCATGGGATTGTCATTTTCACCAAGCTTGTCATTCCTCAAAGGAGAGGATCGCAAGCACTTGAGACTGGAGAGGTGGCAAGTGCCACACGGTGCTTCACGCTGTTATGACACCGCAGGTGACAGGCTCTAGGGCTTTCAGGAAAGGAAAGTGTGCTGTGACTTGGAAATCTACACACGAAGCAGACTTGAAGTGAGGTATGTTGGGAAATAAGTGTGGACGTGCTTCTGTGTATGTGATTATGAAAGGGTAATAGCGCGTTTGAGTGTGTGTTAAGAGAGCTCCGATATCTTTGAACGTGTGTGTAAAAACATGAGACAGACATGTGTGTATATGCATGTATGTGTATGTGTGTTAAGGGTTTTAATGGAGGAAGCTAAGCCTGCAGAAAGAATGCAAGAGGCAAATGTGTTTTGGAGGGTCACTAAAAGGTGTATCTCATGTCAAGTGTTTCTCCCATAAAAATAAAAAACAAACAGTAAATAGACTATGGGAAAGAAAAGAGACACAAGGGACCTCTTGGAGCTGTTGGTTGTAGCTATGGTTTCAGGGGTCCACATATCTGTCCAAACTTTCCAGTCTCTGGGCATTGATTATGTGTAGTATACATCAATGTTACCTCACAAAACTTGGGTGGCATTGGGGAGATGGATCCATGGATAAAAATCTTGCCATAAACCATGAGGACTGGAGTTCTGATCCCTAGCACATTAACAAAAGCCAGGTAGACATGACAGATGCCTGTTATCCCAGCCCTCAGGAGGCAAAGACAAATGATCTCAAAGTCAAGCTGGCTAGCTGGAATAGCCAGAATTGGCAAGCACTGGGTTCAACAAGAGACTCTGACTCAATAAATGGTGTAGAAGAATTGAGAAACAAACAAGACATCAACTGCTAGGCCCCCATACATATGCATTTATGGGCACATGTACCTGCACATGCATGTGCACTTACATGCATTATAATATTATAGACATAGGTACATCACACACACACACACACACACACACACACACACACACACACCTGAGAATGTGAAGGAGGGAAATCCCAGAAAGCAAAGCAAGCAGATCCTGTCCCTTTCTCTGTCTTGTGGGCACTCAGGTAAGTAGCTTTGGGGAAGCCAGAAGACAAGCCCTTGCCAGAACCCAGCTGTGCTGATACTTTGACCTCAGACTTTGAGCCTCCAGAGATAGGAGAAGCAGACCCTGCCACTAAGGAGTAAATTAGTCTTTGAGTTTAAGGGTGGCTCAGGGCCCAGCTGCCCCTAAAGGAGTGGAAAAATCGGTCTCTCAATTAGCCGGTCCCTTCTACAATGTAGTGATCTGGATTTTGCATTCTTAATTTCCAGTTTACATGCTAGAAGCATAGACAATAAGAGCCTTACTCTAACATCTTAACATCTGGAGGCAGCCCATAGACCAGTGGTTCTCAGCCCGTGGGTCGTCACCCCTGGGGCCCAGTCGATTCTTTCACATCATCAGAAAACACAGATATTTATATTAGAATTCACAAGAGTAGTCAAATTACAGTTATGAAGTAGCAAAAATAATGGTATGGTTTGGGGATCACCACAACATGAGGAACTGTATTAAAGTGTCTTGGCATTAGGAAAGTTGAGAACCACTGCCAAAGACTGGAAAAGTGTCCTAAAAACACAGAAATGGGTTACTCTCCAAGTACCCAACTTTTCAGCCCAGGGCAAATCCCCGAGGATTTCTGTGCTCAGGGATGCAGCTACAGGGGCACCCACAGGCCCTCTGAAGAGCCGTTGAAGAAGCACTGTGACTTTGCTTTAGAGGCCAATGTGAAACCGACTTGGGGAGACAGGCAATTCATTAAGACAGGGAAATGAAAGGGACAAAGGCTATCAATGTCTCTCATCTTTTTTATCTCCAAGGGGAAAACAGACTGTAGTTCTAGAAGAGATATTTGATGGGATGCAAGACCTCAGTCTGATGCCTTCAATAGAGAATGTGCCTAATTATTTGATCTCCACCCAAGAGTATTGTTTCTTAAAGATAGCTGGCTTCTATGCCAAGCCAAAGGAGGGGACAGGAGCTAGAGGGAGGGATGTTACGAAAGAGTAGCCCCGTGGACCCCACAGGTAGGATCTTGCCCTAGGCCACCCAAGCTAACACTCTGGAGTCCTAGGGGAGGCAGTGATGAACAGGGAAGGGGGAAGGGCAAAGGAAGAACGGCCAGGGAAGACTGAGGCATAAGAAGTATTTTCCTGCACTGTTCCCCAGAGGGGCTGCAGGACCTTCCAATTACTTCCAAGGTGATGTCCTTGACAAATGGAAAACGTCCCCACTCCCCAATAAATTGCTTGCAGTTAAATTTAATATATTTTTTTTCCTTCAGAAAAGAAATAATCATTAGCCTCAGAAGCAAAAGTGGAGTTAAGGCTCCAGTAATATAATAATAATAATTTGCACTCACGCGAGCTCTTCCAGCAAAGGTCTCCAAAGCTTTGCCAAACATTAATTAATTAAGCCTTGCTGGTTGCCCCCAGGAGGCAGGGAGCTATTATCTCAGCTTTCCAGATGTGGAAACTGAGTCTCAGGGAGGTGGAAAGGATTTGCTCAAGGTCACTGTGGGAAGGAGAAGCTGGGTAGAGATTGAAATCCCAGCAGCTTGCTCCATCTCTAGGCTCCAAGCTCAGAAGGTGGGGGCTTGCCATAGCCTTGTGGGGAAGCAGGGCTGGTGTGCCTCATCCTGTTCAGGACCTGGGGGACTCAGGTCCAGTAATGCTGCATGAGAGGACAAGACGGGGCTCTCCACCCTTCCTGGTTTGAGTTGTAAGCTTGGTTGCCTGAAACTCAGTGCCGTACAGTTAAAATCTGGAAATGGCCAGCGAGGTGAATGACTGGAGAGAAAGATCCGCATTCCAGTTTTCCTGGGATGATTCACATCTAACCCTTGTCCCTCTGTGTTAGGTTTCTGTAGATATTAAATCCAGACCAAGTTGAGGAAAGCGGAACTCAGGCCCAGGAGGAGAGCCTCCAGAGAGGTCGCCTTGAGCAGCTGCCATCTATTGATCTGATCTACTAGAGATGCCCTGGGCCTTGCCTGGACCCCTGAGGAATTTGGAGGGCATGATTGCTTACGTGGAGAAGAGAGCAGTCTAGCCACTCCCCTCCATGCCTGCTTTAGCGTCTGACAAATACGAGGGAGAATCCGGCCCTCCCTGGCCTCCATCTTGGGTGCTGCTAATAGAAGGTCGGGCATTTCCTTGTGAGATTACACTTGGCATAATGAATTAAATTCCTCCATTCCCTCTCTCTCCCTCTTCCCCTCATGGGACCGCAGCTTCTGAGAGTTTATCTCCGAGAAGATGAATCACCCAGAGATGCCTGGTGCTTCTTTCTTTACACTTCACCTCCCCCACTGCAGATGAGAAATAGACTTTTCCCTCATCCATCATAAGTCAGCGTGACAGGGCTGTCGGTCCTGCGGCCTGACCTACTGCATCTTGTCTCAGCCCGCTTCGGTGCCCTGCTGCTTCCTTGGGATTGGTCAAGACATTTATAAAAGGTTGGGTATTACAGTCACACCAAATCCCCCCCCCCAAAAAATAAAAGCAAGTTAAAAATATAATAAAAAGGGGCAGAAAATAAATTGGAAACAAAATATAAAGAAGAATCGGTCCAGAGTTTTTGATTCTGGATTGTTCTCTTTAAATGGGATATTGTGAAATGCTAAGGCATCCGTTCATTTCCTTGACACCTTATCAATCTTCAAACTCCCCTAGAGGGCAGAGGGTAAATCCCGTTTGCTTGATTTCACACCTGAGGAAAGTGAGACAAGAGAAGGTGAGGACTGGGGGTTATAATGAAGGCCATACAAATTAGGCTTTCTCTGACAGGGCTTACCACGTGCAAGGGTGCACTGAAGGCTTCTGGGTGGTGGGCATAGTGAATATAAGCAGGATTGCAGCAAATCGTTCTACCACACCACTTCCTGTCTGGCCCCCATAATGGGGACCCGAAGAACAAAAACAGACTCTCATTTTAACACAGGAAGTAGCCACTCAAAATGCTCAGGAAAAACCCCACAGGAGTTCAGACAAAGGACCTGGGTTTGAGACCAAACTGGGGTGAAAAGAACAGAAAAGAACCAGGTTGTATCTTTCAGCCTTTGGGAGGAAGAACCGAGACTCAGCTTCTCATCTCTAAAATGGGAGAACCTTTGTTAACGAGTAGCCATTGCGTCCAGATTTTCATGGAGATTCCACTGTCTCCAGGAAAACTCAGAATGAACTCAGCTGGCCTGATGAGTGGGGTGTCCTTTTCTTTGTGGGTCAGGGCAAAAGAAGACCCTTTTGGAAATGTTTCTCCAGACCCTGAGGCCGATCAGTAGATAGGCTGTCTGTTCTCATGGACACCATGTAAACAAGCTAGGCATTCTCATCCTGGGATGATAGCTCAGCCTGGCTGCCTTGGACCTAGTCCACATATAGGACAGCATTAGGGAGAACGAAAGGGAATGGGCTTGAGTGGGTTGCCACAGCATTTGCGCCTGGTGTGTCCCCACCACAGCGAATCTTTCACAGTCTGATGGAATGTCTTATTTTTTTTTTCTTCTCGGATGATCCTGGCAGGAGCGGGAAGGACCTTGGCTTTTAAATGTTATTGGAAGATTTAATTAAGCACCATTTGAAATTTTTGAATGGAAACTGCCACATGACTCATGATTATTATCCATTTTCTTTAAACATAGGGCCAACTGCTAAGCTGTTAGGCACACGCCTGGAAATTACAAAAATATTCAGATATCCATTATCTGGCATTGTGTTGCCAGGCATCCTGTCTGATTATGGGATGCCTGCTGGAACAGATGGGCCTTCCATGGGGCCCTTCTGAGCCAGGAATCGCAGACATATTGAGTCCCAGTGAATCCACGTTTCTAAGTCTGTGGCCACTGCAAAGAACTCTTGACAAGGCTTCTTCTTTGCAAAACCTGGACAGTCCCACCCACAGCCAGCTTCTGATTTCTGTGACACACAACAGAGAGGACAACTTTGACTTGGGGGGGGGCATTGCATCACAGCCAGAAATCTGTCTGGGGGGTTTCCAGGTGACTGGGACAGTTGGCATAGGGACACAGGGAGCATAGAGCGCATTGTAAGACTCTAGTGGAAGCTGCTACTGCAGGTGCTTTGACATAGAAAAACTGCCTTCATTTCAGCTTCCTA